TTCCGTGTAGTATGTTACAATGTTAACATCAAACATACAAAAACAAGCAACAGGTATAAGATTGCTTATAATTATTATTAGCATTGGAGACAACCCCTAAACTCACATTATCTTTTCAGAGTTTGCCGCGCAAGTATCATAATTTCTACGTCTGGAACATCTCACTGTATGAAACAGATTAACAATGGCAATTGTAACGAGAATCAATAGCGTTGCGTTGTCCGATTTGACTTATACTAAAGTGAATCAACACTAAAAAGTATAATATAAACGTTATGTAATGTGTTATATTTAGTGATAGTCGTTATTATTATGGTTTGTATGGATGTGCTACCGACCGAAAGATTTGACAATATTTACAAATGGTCGTATCTTCCTATCTTTGTTTACATGTAAAGAGTGAGACCAAAATTAAAGCAAGTATAATATATTAATATTAAAAGAAATCATGTAATCGATGAACCCTATTGGTCCTTCGATAACTCGGATTCCTCCACACAACTTTCGAGTATACGCATTGTGATGTAACATGTTAGCTCATCAGTATCCAAATACCCAAACTGAAAATCTTATGACTTACACATAAAAAATCAAGTGTTTGTTAATTAACTGCCATTCCAATCAGACTTACATCTATATTTAACTGAACCCGATATTTCGGTGACGCGATGGTTCTCTTTACAAATATATTTTTCCAACTCTTCTTTTAATGCTAGGTATTGTCTCGGATTGAATTAGATAAGAGGTTGCGCTGCGGTGAATGAATGCATTTTTGTAAGCAGATACTGAAAGTAGAAGTATAATGAGTAGCGGAGTCATCAATAACAATTGAGTGAAGAAAGACTATTTTTGCATTCTTCTATTTGCATAAATAAATGGACAAAGTTAATGTGTCGTTGCTATTCCATAAAAGTTACTTCGTAACAGAATTACCAAAGACAGTGCTTTGAAAGATTACTTGCATACGCGCAACGCACAGGATGTCTGACGATCTTGTCAAGAATAAAAATGTCAAGACAACTGGAACTGGAACGAATAATATTAACGAGTCACGAAAACGATAATTAAAATGTAATAATTTTTTTCTTATCGAAGGCACATCATGTTATACCGACCAGTTACTATTAAATCGAATAAGCCATTTAACTCTCTGAATTAATCAGCTAGCAAATATCGGCATCAATGTCAACATCCGAATTTGGACAACTGGATACTTAGCACAATGACACAAGTTTTCTCAACCTGGTTTAAAGTTCAAGCATTCCCGTAACTCGTCCCAATGTCTGTGCGATAATGTGTTAGTATTGTGTGCTAGTATTGCTATATTAATATGGGAGCTCCATATTAATTTTTCTCACGGGACTTGTATTACAATGCATCGATTTCTTTGATGTTTCCAATTCGTATATTCCATTGGGACGTGTACTGCCACGGTTAGGGGTTTTGAGTCTTCTGAGCGTACTCATGGCAAACTGTTTACTCATGCCAAAGACCTTGCTTTTGCCCAGAGATTTTTATCGAAAATACCCGATTTAGACATTCGAATTTTCTCATCCTTCCTTCCCCACTATAATACCTTTCTTAGAACAAACAAATATGCATTTAATTAGTTAGCTCTGTTATTATTAAGAACCAGGAGTTTATGTTCGATGTATGATTAAGATAAAAATAATGTAATGATCGTAAAGCAACACATAACACATCAGATAAACTAAGCAGCAGTATTTCCGGATTGCTGTCGAAGTTACTTGTTCAATCTGGATGAAAGGATTCTTACGAAAAGATGTACAATTAACGTCAAAGCTGGTTTTGCAAAAACTTGCCAACTTTTACTCTTTGTCCTACCCAAAGTTTATAAGTGTCCCTTCTCGCATAATAACGTGGACAGAAGCAGTTATAAAACGACTGTCTTTTCGACATTTTCTTGCCTATACCAAAGATAGAACGGACTTGGCTCACATTATATCTTGTCAGAGGTAGTAATAATTATATCGCACTATTTCAATTCATGTGTCGTCTACTAAGAAGAAACATTTTGTTGTTAAACACTGAAAGCATACCGATTTAACTTTGCCTATCAAAATTGCCAGAACATTATGATTGTTTACAGTTATTCAATGCTGCCGACAAAATATTTCCTTACTCGGTCAGTATTAAGCTTTGGAGTGGGGCGAATTGTTTAATAACGGTTACTTGTCGAGCCATACGGTTAGTACGTTACAAAAAAAATGCAAATATGATTACAGAAGCAACACTTGAAGTTGAGAAATCGAGTATGCGTTTGGAATCTTAGGCGGAAAAGCCGAGCCAACAATAGATCTGAACAAGTTTTAAATGTTTAATCTTATTATTATTATTATGTAAGAATGACGATTTACGGCAAGCGATAAAATTTGATTAATCAATAATAATCAACTTGATAGCTACTCGGAAATCGGAAAATTAATCTTCTGATTATTATTAGACACTGCGTTTGGTGTTCAGTTCAAAATACTGTTACTCAACCCAGAACTGGGACAGAGGTACAACAAGGATACGCAATCATATTAAACACAGAAAAATAAAATAGAAAGGCGTATTAATTATTTGCTCAAACACTTTGCAGGTAGCTTACGTAAAAATTAATGAAATCCCATTCAAGACAAATTAGTCTCAAGAGCAAATGCATAGACGGTGTAATATTATCGATACACTCCCCTAGCAAAGGTCTCCGGAGACTCTTGGCAACTCTAGTGTTGGACAGTGCCACATGATGATGAATTAATAACATAGTTTGAATTATTCCGTATTTCCGAAGAAAATTATATCCCTCTTCGCAAAACTTTTACGAGATTGGACAATAAGACGCGGCTTACATAGTAAATGGTCGTCAAACAGATAATACGTGTAATTCTATTGTGTGGTTAACCAACCGAATAACACCTTCGGTTATTTTGGAGCAAAAGCGATTAAACTTAAAAACAAAGAACAATTTATTATATTTACTGTATTTATTTAATTCCCAAATTTTCCGCCCGGGTTCTTTTTAACAACATCGTCTTTGTTGTGTGTTGATTACTATTACTAAACAATTATGCGTTTAATATTTTTCCTGTTTGGTTGCATTAGGAAACTTGCAACTACACAGAACATATTTTCACGTATAAGATTTGACATGAGCCGAACTATACATATCATTCATTTCTCGAATGATACGTAACATTTATTATTTGCATTATTCCAGCTAGACATATTAGTATAGATAAGAAGAAAGAAAGAAGCCAAAAAACTTACTTGTACACATATTGTAATGTCTGTTAGACCCGGTTGCGTAATTTAGCCAAACCGGTAATAAACCTTATGCCTATCTGTAATAGTAATAACTGTCCGCCTTATTGTTTATTTTAATAGTGATTTAATATTTGACAAACTACTAATAAATACTATCGATTTATTATGGTATGGTAAATGGTTGTGTATTCGTTATTATTTTACACAATTTCAAATTTTACTTACAACCATACTGACCTGGATTTATTAACAGCAAACAAAGATTGCAAACTACTGTAAAAATTGTATTGTTCGAAGGCTGTATTCCATTTGTATGTAACTTTGCGGAAATCTTTCATAGACAAATCCCTATCTATTGTCCACGATTGGATATGTATAACGTACGACCATTTGCAAATATGGAAGTGAGACAAAGTGTGTAACCTCGGAACGCGGAATAAAAGTAGAATATCGAAACGCGGAATAATTGTAAATAGAATAAACAGTTTTTTGAAAGCAAAGGTTTGCTAACTACTAAATAGAACAACAATTAAAAAGTTGTAAATAGCCTGTTGGCCAAATAAGCTTCATTAAAGAAATGGAAATCAGAATTTTTTGAAATAATAAATACGCAGAATGATATCATCAATGAATATCTTATGACGTACAATAGATTACAAAAACGTCTTTTCTGAATCATTATCAACGATATAATAATAAGGAGGTATAAACAATTTGTTTTATAAACCATCAAATAAAATAACAAAATTATCAATGACATGATGAGTTTTGTTAAATTATGGAAATGCTCGATGACATAACAACACAACAACAACAACAACAACAACAACAACAACAACAACAATAATAATAATAATAATAATAATAATAATTAATAATATTGTTTGCGGCTTATGAATGGAGAGGTTGTCCGACTTACAGCTTAACGAGAGTTTATACATGTCAAAAAAAAGGGGGGAGGCTGAGAAATTTTGTCCGGTGTTCGACTTATCGAGTTTCACTGTGTATTTTGAAACCGACCCGTAATTACATGCTATATACCAATTTTGGGTTATGCCAAAGGAAACGAAAAAAAGAGGCATGGAACGTAACAAAGAATATGTAACGTTCTACGCTAAGATGCCTGTCGTATACAAAACCGCAATGGGGTTTGAGTGGCAGTCAAAGAAGGTAATTGGTGTGAACGAAAACAATATATAAAGAGTCTTAAGCGAGGGAAGGTGGTGGTAGTTAAAAATCAGTTAAGCAATCACCTCGAATATTACACTTTTTTTTCGCATCCCATCCCTTCGAACTCTGAAAATGTCCCCCCGACAAAATGTGACAACGGCATGTGACGAGTGCCGAAGGAGGCGTATACGGTGCACGGGAGATTCCCCGTGTGCTGGCTGTGTAAAGCACAGCCAGCAGTGCAAGTACTCGAAACCCACGAAGAGACGTGGGCCCCAAAAAGGCCGCGCCCAACAAATATCCGCGACAGTCGATCGTATCGAAAGGATAGTGATCGAATTACGACGTCGGATCGAAGACCTAAAAAGAAGACAGATCAGAGGGCCGAAGCAAGGTAAGAACATTATAATACATCATTATAAATATAATTCTGTAATTAGAATACATTGTCGACAGTCATAAATTAAACCGCGCGCAATTAAACATACAAAGTAGAGTTGCTGACACTGAATGCCTTTTGTTTACAGATAAAGCCAACCCCTCTCCCTAATATCAAATTTGCGAGACCGAGAGGTCAATCCTGCATTTAGAGAGACGCATATTTAATTATTGTATACGATGCCATATTAATATAATAAAATATCAAAAATGACTTCTTCATTTTAATTTTGTTCTTGTTCAATTTTTTCAAAACCCACTTACTGAGATTTCTTCATTCGGAGTAAGACTGTTAGCGTTGAAACAACAATTCGATAGTCTGTTGAAGCGACGTAACTTGCAGATTTCTCACTATTTTGATTTTTGAAATTGTGCCAATATATTTTCTTCGATTCTAAAGTCTTCGTGAGATCTATAATTTCTTGATCGATAAGCATTTTTTCCATACTGCTCTCCTCAGAATAATTTCAACTTCCACAAGCGAAGAGCTTTAACATTCTCACGCAATTCATTTACTAACTGTTCATCGCTTGTCCATAATCGTTATAATTATCTATCTAGGGAGATAGGGAGGAACAATATTAAAATGCCACGTACGCCGAACGTCGATGCCTCTGCATACTTGCATGCCTAGTATTGTGCATTAACTACTACGGTGGCAGTTGAAGATCTTACGTGGCTATTCGAATTCGTAGTATTATATTCCAAATACCAGATAATTGCCCCCCTCTAACACAGCCAGGTAACACATGTAATTAATGGGATTAACCGAAATCATTTCTTCATTGATTATCTTTCAACGTGCTACCAGTTTCACTAAGCTCATGTCAGCCAACTGAACCAACGGTCACGTCTCTCCAACAATCAAGATTGCATTTGCCCCGCACGAAGACACCAGAGGGCTCGTAAGGATGAAATTCAAATTGACTGACAATTATATCATAAGTGGGTAGTGGAGCTATTTCTAACGCACATTGTGTAGTATGTAATCCTATCGAGGTCAAGGTGAGGATCTTTTCAAAGAAGAGACCGGAACGCGATTTGTATGATAATCTGTTCGCCCTCCACACGATACGGAAAGAATTGTCTTTCATTTTGAATAGTTATCTCCAAGTCGGCCAACGATTAAGTCTTGGCATTGCTTTCAATACTCTGATCAAACTTAATGCTGTTGCATTAACTGATGCATTCAATTTTCAGACTGTACGCTGCATTCGGCACCTGGACGATATGATGGCAAAGTGTATGAGGCTATGTGGATGCTTGGGCTTGAAGAGAACCCACTGAGCAGTGTTGTTAACTTGACCAGTGACGTGCTTTCCGCGAAGAAAAACGAGCATTATCAACTGCCAGAAGTCGGTCGTGTCGGCGGGGATTTAGCAAATAGCATATTTTCTCTCATGGCAAATCAGCGTCAGTCTTGCATGTCGTGAAAGGGTTCTTGTCGTCAATTTTGGGATCATTTCTGTGAGTACGCTACATCATGATCGGCTGATCATGATGGTACATATGAGGGAATACGGGAGTTCCAATTACCATGGATAATGCAGTTATAGATCGCGCTGTCGAGGGTCAATTATTTTACAAAACAGGCGACGAGTGAATACTGTTGTATGAGATGATGCAATGAACATTTTGCGAAGACTTGTCCAGTCCGGATACTAACATCGGCGATGAGAATCGTTCAGTTCAATATTTGTCAGCAGTGAAAACGATGATACTATTGGAATGGTAATGAACACGATAATAATGGGGTGAGAATGAGGCAAGAGTGTGAAATAGATGTAGAGAGAAGCATGAGAAGAAGCGGAGAAAGGGTTGCTCAAAGTACCTCCGGTATAACGTACCAAAAAACACAAACCGTTAAACCGGTTTTAATCTATCGCAGAAACTATGCGGCAAGTTTTCCAGAACGTAAGAGGCCGCGTCTTGAAACAATTACCAAAGGCGCTTCAGGCAAATGGATGCTAGAAGGCACAGACGTTAGGAGTTCTTTTTTCCTGCTTACACAGATCACAAATCGATACATGACAACACTTTCGACTGCCGAACAGAGCAGTAAGTATAGTCTACAACATATCGTTGTTCTTGTTCATGTTGTTTTTTTTTACTCACAAAAACCGCCAATTTTATTAATTTTGCAGAAATACAGCTTACTTTTCCTGTGGCCAACACGCGTACATCTCCACCTTCTATTGTCGATTCGCAAGCGTCGTTGGTTTATTCGAACAGTGAGTCACTATCGCCAAAAACAATATACATTTGTCATTGTCCATGTCCGTTTAATACGGAACCGTGTATAATGCAATTATAGATCCTTATGCCAATGCCGAAATTACGGAAAGCTAATTATTTTACAACATAGACGAGAATTCACGGAGGGCCAATCATTTTACGATGTAGGTTCTTACGCCGGCAGTGAAATTACGAGAGACCAATCTTTTTACCCTTATGCTGGCGCAGACAATCAATTTACTTTACGGCGGACAACAACAATATTATTAATGGGAACTCGTTTTTTGTTTTAACCTTTACTTGATTGAAAAAGAATCAAAAACATATGACTGTAGCTGATGACAACACGTAATTAGAGGACAATTGAAACTTAATAAGATATAGGAATATAAGCGTAGGTAACCTGCATAAAAGTAATAAGTAACATATGTTTGCATTGTTTAAGTCATGAAATTTGTAGTGCTGGTTAAGCATTAACATATCAGTTCGCAGCATGGTGATGTTTTGCCAAATACATCTTCGACGTAGGCACTTATGACAAGTAAGACGCTATTCATCGCGATTATCTAATACTGGCAGTCTACGAAACATATAGCATACTTAAATATAAAAGACTTGAGGATTTAGCCGAATAAGAAAAACACATTAACTTGCATTGAACACGTCTGCTCATGATAAGAATATTAATATCATCTTTGTCGCATAGTTACATAAACTGTTATGTTAATTGGCTATTTAATTTATCCGTAATAGTATCAGTCCATTGAGCTAATCTCAATTCAACATAATTCTAGTCGAGTATCACGACAAAACTTGTCAACAATGCAATTCTAAAAAAAATCAAAACGTTGGGCGAAAGCATTCTAGTTGACGGTCAACTCCCAGTCTAACCTCATTGATTCGATACAACGCTATGGATAATGAAACATTGCAGTATTATACAAATCTAGAACGTACTTGACTAAACTATCTCTAGCTTGATATTCTTGAGAACTGTATTTTGTTCCCTGACACAATATGGCATGTAACGTAAATATATGTCAACAAAATGTTACGGGCACTTAAGTAATTTTACTCAACAAAATAATGAAATAGTAATTACGCCCCATCAAATATCTTCAGCAGACCTTAATTCAATACCTCGTCATGAGTTCTAATGAGCAAAATTTGCAACGGTCATTATCAACATCGAAAAATCAGAATAAATTTATTTACAGTCTTTTGTTTATTAAATATTAAAACTAGCGTTAGCTGATCAAACATTATTGGACCTGGTCTTAATGAAAAATGTGTCGGCAAAAGACTGTTTTGTTTGAAATTATATTCGGACGAAAAGAAATATGAAAACCTGTTCATAAACAGTCTGCACGCAGGTCTTTATTGCCAATGATATCAAAATCAGGGTTTATTTGAAACAAACAAACCAAATTTCAGGGATTCGGAAAGAGTATAAATGAATGCGCTGACGTATAAGCCAAAACGTCTGATCCATTAACAATTGAATAACACGGCCGATTATTTGTACAATAATAATGGGATGCTCATAAGGTTTGTAAATGTCCAGCTTTTGGTAAGACAAACGTAGGTATAACGAGTTATATACAATGCTGATCGAGAGCTCATTATAAATGTTAATCGGTGTGACAGCAAATAAATAAATCACGCTATTCACGGTTATATGTTATATAAACACAACAACAAGCTTCTATTAGCTTTCTTATAAGAAAACGTCGGTGCCAAGATCAAACTTTTCCTTCCTCAATATAATACATTTAAATCGATTAAACATCCATCAAATTCGTCGTAATGGCTGGCACCATGACAATCCGTGAATTTATCGATAATCACCTTAGCGAGGCTGAACGCGAAAAGCTCGCTAATCCACCACTCCCGTTGTCGATGCCGATCGACCAGTTGTTAAAACTACCTGCGGCAAAAGGCACCAAAAAACGCAAATCGGTAAATCGATTTTTACCTTACCGCCGAAACTATGCAGCAAGTTTCCCAGCAAACGCAAAGCCGCCTTTTAAGGCAATTACCAAAGGTGCTTCAGCCAAATGGATGTTAGAAGACAGTGAAGTTAGGAAATTTTTTTATCTGCTTGCAGAGACATCAAATCGATACAGGGCAAAACTTTTGGCTGCCGAACGGAAACAGAAGCAGTAACCATATATTTATATTTTAAATACTGCAGGTAAAGTCTGCGTGCTCTTTGATTCTTGCATCGTTTTTGGAGTCTGCAACGTTTTTTAATTCTTGTTCATATATCTTGTCTTTATTCTCAAACCGTCAATTTATTTAATTTGCAAAAATGTCGATTCGCAGCGGTAGTCACTCAGTTAGTATATGCCGATAAAATTACATAAATTTTACTCCAATACAACATACGCAATTCATATGACAAGCAATAGGTATCAACTACTAATAGATATTGGGCAACACAAACTTTGGGGTTACCAAACAAAAGCTGAGAGATATACCTATCATTTACTGGACATGTTAACCCAACGTTGCGGAGAAATGGCGCGTGAATTAAAAACTAGTCTAGAAAAAATCGTTTGTTTATGTGGTTCTACTATTTTGCATAACCAGGCCAGGTTTTCTACGTTTTTTAATAGCATAGGTAGTATAGTTACATATATTATTTCTTATCTCATAATAGTCCTTACTAGTTGAATAAGTCAAAATATGTTGTTGCTTTACTCTTACTATGTTACTTATTTCATTCA